ACTAACACCAACGAAGGTACACTATTCCTCACACTGACACCAACAATGGGGCACTATTCCTCCTGCTGACACCAGCAATGGGGCACTATTCCTTACACTAACACCAAAGATGGTACACTATTCCTCCCACTGACACCAACAATGGGGCACTATTCCTCCCGCTGACACCAGCAATGGGGCACTATTCCTTACACTAACACCAAAGATGGTACACTATTCCTCCCACTGACACCAACAATGGGGCTATTTCTCCCACTGACACCAGCAATGGGGCACTATTCTTCCCACTGACACCAACGATGGGACACTATTCCTTTCACTGACCCCAACAATGGGGCACTATTCCTTCCACTACACATATATGTGGCCTTGCGGCGGATGGCTTTAATGGCAAGAGGCCACATATATGCGTTCCTGTGCAAACAGCTTCCTGTGTTGAGAGCGCGCACCCTGTGCACACGGCAGGTACTGCAGAACTCCTGATACAAACTTGCGATTGGGAGCTTTTTTGATCATGATGTGACCACTGTGACTGCCAATCACAGAGGTCACATGATTGGAATGGCTGCCTCCTGGCATTTAGAAACTTTTAAAGGACCACTAAATATTTTCCTTAGTGAGAGTGCAGATGGAGATATGAGAAGCATTTTCCCATATATCTGACCAGTCTTCTGGTGTAAGTGAGGACTGAAATTCCATATCCCAATAGGCCATATAGGGATGTCGGTTAGGTCGGGTTTAATGGTCAGATGTGAAGTTCAAAATGGAGGTATAACAGATATCAGGAGTTTTGGGGTGGAGCCTCGTTTGGATAGCCTTTCAAAAGAGGTAAGTTGTGGGTAGGGATGATTAGGGTCCTTTTACACGGGTGTTTCATATGTCCACTTTTTCGGATGAAAAATGGACACCCATGTATTTCTATGGACTAGTGGATGTAAACTGATGATCATCTGTTGGGCTAAGTTCACATCTGTGCAGCTGGTGCCGCTGTGGATCCGCACAAAAATCCGTGCAGCCACACCACCCGCACAGAATGCGGACCCGTGGGCGGGTGCCATTAATTGTAAGTGCCGCCCGCACTGGAAATCACAACCGTACTGGGAACCGAGGTTCCCATGCGGGCTGCTTTTTCAGAAGAAGTGCAGGGACTTCTTCCCTGCGTGTCCCGGGGCACAGGAGTCCATTCAAATGAATGGGCTCTCGTGCCTGTGCAAAACGTGGACCGCAGGAACGCAGATATGTGAATCAGGGGTTAATGTCCGCATCCGTTAATATCCGTTTTTTTTTAACAGAAGTAAACTCTATTTTTGGAACGGACGAAAAAACAGATGTAATCGGATGTAAACAGACATACAATCTGTTTTTGCATTGGTAAAGGATGTACAAAACTGATGTAAAAACTGACAAGGAACTGATGAGAAAATTACAAGAAACTGATGAGAAACTGACACGAAACTGATGTAAACTGATCCATTTTTTCTTTGAAAAAAGGTGACTGAACTGATGAAAAAAACGGAACGCCTGTGTGAAAGGACCCTTAGGCATGTTCAGATCCTAATCCGAACCCACTTGAGTGATCCCACCAGGAAGCTGTCGCTGTACTGTGCCAGTCATAAGCAGCCAAGGCATTCCCTGCTCCACATCCGCTTGTATACACGGGACGTGTGTATGTACGCATGTGCGACTGGGAAAGCTTCCTAGTGGGATCACTCAGGTGGGTTCGGATTAGGATCTAAACAAGCCTGAAATGATCCCTAGTTGTGGGAATCGAATTGTGATGGAGAAGGAAAGCAGATAATGGCAATGTTGTAAATAGACAATATAAGAAATTCTGCTCTCAGGTTTAGAGAAATCTAAAAACAGCAGACTACACTATATCCTGATACAAGGCATTTGCCTAGGGTGGCATTTCTTAGGGGGGCAGCACTGCCCCCCAGAAGAAGGAACATATGCGGCATGGGGACCAGGTGGAATCTGAGAGGGGCTGCTTGATGGTGTATGCAGAGATCACTGTCGTTCCCAGGGCTCTCTCGCGTGGGGATGGGGCAGGGGTGTTGTAGGTCACTGTCAGGCTCTCTCGGTGGGGGGGGGTCTGGTGTTGGTCAGTGTCAGGCTCTCTCCATGAGGGGGGGTCTGGTGCTGGTAGGTGTCAGGCTCTCTCTAATGGGGAGGGGGGGCGTCCGATTTCTGTGTTGCCTAGGGCAGAACAAAACCTAACTATGCCACTGTACACGATATATAAATATGAGAACTGCAAAGTGTGGCGCTGTACACTGGCGCAGAGTTCACAAAGTATCCGTGTGCTGCACACCCCATGCTGTGTTCATAGAGGCTTAATGGATAGGTAGGACCCTCAAACTCCAAGTGGTCTTAGAAGGCTCTTCATAGGTAAGCTTTTCCAAGCATTATCATCAACACAGAATTCCTCTGATCTCCTCACATAATGAAAAAGGCACATGAAGTGATGAAAGCTCAGTAAATCAAACTTTCCCCCTGCTCAGCTCAGCTCACCAATTATACAGGTGGAAATGCAAGACGAAGGAATCGCTCCTCATAGTGTAAAACCATAAATAAAACAGTTTATTTAAAACTCCAATGCACTTACAGTATAAAAACATCTACAGAGTTTGTATACAATCACGAATACAGTCTGCCATAGATGGTGAGGCCGCCGGCAGCTTGGTACGCATGTGTGGTGACATGTATCATGGCTCCACCCTACGCGTTTTGTCATACCTGACATCATTCAGGGTACGCATCTAATACCAAGCTAAATATAGAGGAAGGCAGAGGGAGGATTGGTGCTGGTTACAAGGAAGGGCAAAGGGTGGATCGGTATCCATTAGGCAAATACACAATCCTCCCAGTGGTCAAAATAAAGAAGGCAAGTTCCCCTCCACCTCCATCACTAACATTAAGCACTTGCAGACCTCCCGCCCACAAAGTACTGGGGATGGGCGGCCCGCACGGCAAAGCGACAATTCCCCCCCAGCCAGCACCCGCTGTGATTGTACATAGCAGGAGACTGTCAGCAAGTCCCAGACAATGATCCATGGCCAGGACTTGCTGATCAGCTGTGTCCAATGTGTCTAATTGACAATCAACAAAGAGCTCTGTAGAGAGGGAAGGATCTCTCTGGGATGAGAAACTAAGGTTGGCCATACATGGGTCGATTTCCAAACGATTAGGAATAATCAACTGATTTTTCACTCTGTTAGTGGAGCAATGGCACCGGACAATTTTTGTGGTTCCTCCCCATTTCGTTTATCGGGTATGTTGGAAAATTCATGAACAAACAGGGCAGCACAGTGGCTAAAGGGTTAGCACTTCCGCCTGGCAGTACTATGGTCTTTGGTTCGAATCCCAACCATGGCACCACCTGCCTGGAGTTTGCATGTTCTCCCTGTGCCTGCGTGGGTTTCCTCCGGGTACTCTGGTTTCCTCCCACACTCCAAAGACATGCTGGTAGGTTAATTGGCTCCTGTCTAAATTGGCCCTAGTATGTGTATGTATGAATGTGAGTTAGGGACCTTAGATTGTACGCCCCTTGAGGGTTAGGGACTGATGTGAATGTACAATATATATGTAAAGCACTGCGTAAATTGATGGCGCTATATAAGTAACTATAAATAATAAAAACAACCAATTTTTGAAATCATTTGGTGGCATCGTCGGATTACAGAACGAACAACATTTTCGATCGAAAAACAATCCGGAATTCGACCTATGTATGGCCTGCTTAAGAGATCTATTAGTAAAAAACAGCACGCTTTACACATATTACACATTGTTAGGCACTCATTTAACCCCCCCAAACACCCTAGATATTAACCCCTTCCCAGCCAGTGTCATTAGTACAGCGACAGTGTATAGTATTATCACTGATCACTGTAATAATGTCATAGGTGATGTCAGCGGCAATTAGTGTCAGTTAGTGTCATATTGCCCGCCGCACTATTGCAGTGCCAATATAAGTTGCTGAGCACCGCCATTAGTAGTATAGGAAAAACCCCAGTATATATACCATAGTTTGTAGGCACTATAACTTTCACGCAATACAATCAATATACACTTTTTGGGATTTTTTTTATCAAATATATATAGCAGAATACATTTTTGGGCAAAATTGTATTTTTAAAAATTCTTTTATTGGATATGCTTTGTAGCAGAAAATAAAAGATATTGTTTTGTTTTTCTCCTAAAATGTTTGGTCTTTTTTAATTTATATCACAAGAAATATAAAAAAACAGTGGTAATCCAATGCCACCAAAAAAAGCACTATTTGTGTGAAGAAAATTATATAAATTTTGTTTAGGTATACAGAGTTGCATGACCACGCAATTATCAGTTAGCACAGTGCTAAATAGCATAGAATGGCCTGGTCACGAAAGGGGTAAAATCTTCCATGGCTTAAGTGGTTAAACATTGTACAATCAGATTGTATGGTGTATGGCCAGCTATTGTACAGAAAGGATATGAGGTAACACATGGGGGCAGGTTTTGGAGACTGTACAGAGACTGCGCCACCCAACTGTAACACGTGAGCCCATCTGAAGGATAATCAATTGAGCTGATCATTCCAAATGATCTATGATGCAACAAACATAATCGTTGAATAGATCAAATGAGCGCATTTGGATTCCAAAATATACTATATGATCTTCTACAAATACATTGCATGGAACAGCCAAAGAGCTGAGTGTACAGCCCTCACTATTCTGCATGAGGGTCTAGGTGTACCCGATCAGTGTTCATGGCAATCACTGTGTTGTGGTGACAACTCTGAACGTGAATGCACTTTTAATAGCATCAAGCTCTCCAGTGGAAGGTAGAAATGCTAGCTGCAACGCCTGAGCGGTGCACTAGAGGGCGCTGATACACACATAGCATGGCTCTGCCTGGAAGCATTTAGCAGCGCCTACACTTCCGGGAGAAGTCACATGACTGGGACCAGGCGGGTCACGTGAGTGGAGGGGAGGTGATGAGGAGGAGGGAAGAAGATGGCATCAGTGCGCTCTGTACATCCGTATCCTTCCTCTTCTGTCATTAACAATGATAGGATCAGCTACCTGGGAGCCAAGATCCCCCCCGAGGTGGAAGCCATGGGGAGACATCTGAAGGAGCTGGATAAGGAGATGTTCAGGAAGATCCTGAAAGGTGGGTGGAAGGTCTGCCCCCTCCCCTCATCACAGCCATACAGAGACCCCTATACTGTGTACACAGCTGACCACTCTGCTCTCCAGGATCCCAGCCCCCCTATATGACATAGAATAAGCCGGAAGCAGTATTAAACCAACAATGTCAGATCACAGCTTAACAATCAGTAGATATGGTGGCTGCATTAGTTTTCTTTTACTTTTGGCTCTTTGTTCCCCACTTTTCACTTGGTGATCTGGCCAGTAACACCCTCCTGTATTAGTGACTGGAAGGAGTACTGGAGGCACAGCAGCATTGTCAGTCTGGGGAGAGGGGAGTGTTAAATGTACTAGCAGATTTAGATACACTAACAAATTGAAGCCAAACTCCAGCTCACACTTTTTTATAGTTAAAGCAGAGGTTTTCTTGTTTTTTTTTTGCTTTTGGGATGAATGTTTTAGTCTTCATGCACACTGGGTGTTCTGATAACGCTGGTAACGTTAGCTGTGTAAAGTTTTTCAACTTATTTTTTTGGCGTTTTTGCATTAGCATTTAGCAGTGTGTAGCCGCACTTTTCAACGTTTGCTTGCCCCCCCCCCCCCAATTTTTTTGATAAAAAAAAAAAATGCTGGTTTTGCCACGTTTGTTAGCGTTGGGGCATTTTTACAGCCAATAAACGCTGCTGCCAAAATCTGTTGATTACAGTCTATGTGTGCATGGACAACATGCTGGGGGGTTTACTGACTGTAGAGAAAATGTCAAAAGCCAAAAACAGCCGCTGTAAAAACGCCCCGTGTGCATGAGGACTAACATGAATAAAAGCTGATCATTTTAACCAGTTTGGCTCCAGAGCAATTTTTTGCGTTATTTTTTTGCACACATGTGAAACTTTTAAAGGATAAGTTTACCTTAGGGAACATGTTACATGTTCCACCTGTTTTTTTCAATAACCGCAGCCACTGCCTGCCTCCCCTCTCCCTCTGATGGATAGTACAAGAGACTCCTCCCCATACTATCTGTCAAATCTGAAAACAGCATGGCCATGCAGGGCTACAGCCATATCATTCATTCATGGACTTCTGTGAATGAATGAACTGAAAGTCCCAGTAGCCTTAGCCGCTGTGGGCTTGAAGTGGTCAATGAACTACCATGGTGCTGTGGAGCGCCGTGGTAGTTCATTGTAGCTTCCTGTCAGAATATCTGCTTGGCCATACATCCCATATGGCAAGCTGATATTCTGACAAGTCTGCAGGAGACCTGCATGGCATCAGCGATCTACTGATCACCGGTGCACTGCTTTCCAGGTTCCTGTAAATAAAAATAATAAATGCACATTTTTTTACCTGCAAAAAAATGTGCATTTATTATTTTTGTCTAAAAGGTGAACTTATCCTTTTAATTTTTGGCAATACAATTATTTAAATGTCCAGAACATTCTATATTTTCTGAAAGCTGAGTAAAAAGGGGATAGCTGCAATTTTTATGTCACATGATATTTGCACAACTGTTTATTGATACGCAATTTGTAAGGGAAAAATAAAATATTTAGTGCAAAAATGCAATATAATACCCATTTTTGGTTAAAATATAAAAGATGAGGCTGGATCGAGTGAATAGATCCCAAACATGTCTTACAATTACGTGCATCTACGGTCTCACCAAAAACTACGGTGCCCAAAAATCACCTTAGGTGATGCTTTAAAAGCCTTTGCAACCCATCAGTTTAGCCTCTTTCCGCCCAGCCTATGGCCGAATGGCGGCCGGCAAAAACCCTTACCTTCCCGGGGTGGACGCCATATGGCGTCCATTAGGGCATGCGCAGTTTGCGCGCCTGCAGAGCCACGCAGTGACACAATCTGTCACCGGCCGTGTACCTCGGACATGATCGATGACAGATCTGAGTACCGGCCCCGTTGCCGGTACCATGTGACCTGCTGAGACCAATCACAGCAGGTCACATGACAGTTGTATACAATGGATGGCTTCATTTATGCCATCCATTGTATACTAGTGTGTCTAGCTGTGAATGGTCACAGCGATCACATGCACAAGCTGGGCCAATCACAGCCCAGCTGTGTCATGTGATTAGCCATGGCCAAATCACAGCTAAGCACAAAAAAGAAAAAAAAAAAAAACCCTGAATGAATCGATGTCATTCAGGTAAATGCTTGCTTATAGCAAAGTAATTCTTTGCTATAAGCAAATTGTGTAAAAGAAAAAAAAAAAAATACTGATCACTTCCCCAAAGTAGTACAATGTTACTATGGTAACATTGTACTACTTTAGTCATAGTGAAATATGAGAAAAAAAATCTTAAAAAAAAAAAAAAGTAATAAATAAACAAAAATTATTATTTTTTTCATACTGTCACCAGTCAGTGTCCCTGATCACCGCCATGCCAGTTATATGATGACGCTGTACTGCACTAGTGACAGTATGTAAAAGAAAATAGTGAAAATAATTTTTTTTAATTTTTTCATTTTCTAAAACATTATGACAAATAAATACAACTTCAAAAAACTTGCCATGCCTCTTATGAAGTACGTCGGACTATCTACTCTACAAAAAGGGGTCATTTGGGGGATATCTGTACTGTTCTGACATTTTTGGGCCTCAAAAAATTAGATTGGCTGTCAGTACTTCAGGATTGATCAATATTCAGATCTATACCATAGTTTGTGCAATCTATAACTTTCCTACAAAAACTAAAAAATACATCCTAATTTGGGTTATTTTCACCAAAGACATGGAGCAAACTTTTGTAAACAGAAACAAAGAAAAACGTGGGTTTTTTTCAAAATTTTCGGTCTTTTTTTGTTAATTTAGCAAAAAAAAAAACCCCAGTGGTGATTAAATACCACCAAAAGAAAGCTCTATGGTATGAAGAAAATGATACAATTTTAGTTTGGGTACAATGTTATATGACCGCGCAATTGTCATTCAAAGTGTGAGAGCGCTGAAACCTGAAAATTGGCCTGGGCAGGAAGGGGGTAAATGTGCTCTGTATGGAAGTGGTTAGAGTTAACTAGGAGCTCTTGCACTAGAATTATTGTTCTCACTCTGATGTTTGTGGCGATATGTCTCTCAATATGTAAATCTCCCCAATGGAGCACAGATGGCAGAAAAAAAATCTGACGGGTTTTAACTGCTTTGCTCTATCCAAATATCCAAAATAAATTTAAAAAAAAAAATGCTTTTAGTTCTACTTTAAGCTGCCTCTTGAAGCAACACCGGCAAGTCCTCTTTGATGACTGTGTGCAGCACATTTGACTGTAATTGTTAATTTCTGTTTTATAATTGGCTCAGATTTGTTATCTTGTCAGTGCTGACAGCAGTTTTTATTTGCATTCTGCACTACACTTGCACACTTTGCAAAGCCACATGACTGTTTTCTCTTTTAGCTGTGGTGGGTGCTCTTGAAGGAAAAGACTGCAGAGAAGCAGTGAAAGTAATACAACAGAATACCTCCTTATCTGAAGAACAGCTTAGTTTTATCATTGCTGGAGCTCACACACTGCTACGAGTGGCACTCCGACTTCCAGTATCGACCCTTAAACAAGAAGTAAGTCATACCCAACTGAAACATTGGCTTGAGGGGGGGAGCAGTATGTAAAGTTATTGGCATCTTTGTAGCTCAGATGTTAAAGCGGAGTTCCAGTGAAAATAAAAGTCAGCAGCTGCCAAAACTGTAGCTGCTGACTTTTAAAAAACAGATACTTACCTGTCCCTCGATCTTACGGTGCCCTCCCCCACAGACCGTTTCACTGGCCATCCTGTGTTCCTGGCGCCGGCATCTTCAGTGTGGGCACCCGGCTGTGACAGCTTGCGGCTTCGCATCTGGGTACCCACTGCGCATGCGTGAGTAGTGCTGTGCTTTGTGAATGGTCCCGTAGTCTTCTGGAACCTGTCACGTGTCCCAGAAAACTACTGGAAGGGAGGGATGACAGCTTCCAGTCGCCTAGGCGATCGCAGCGGAAGTGGGAGCAGGTACCTGTCAATTTTGGGTACCCGCTCCCCAAAGGTGTCCTTAACGGGCAGCGGGGGACCAGTCCTTAAAGCGGAACTTCCCTGTTTGGGTGGAGCTCCACTTAAGGGTCTAGTGCTTTCACACTGATTTAGTTTTTCTTAAATTTTTGCCTTACCAAAAGTGGAAGAAAAATGTATGACTAATAAATCCTATGGAGCTCTTCACACCAGTCAGTTGCATTTTAACACACCTTCCCGCCTGGCCTATTTCAGATTGACGGCCCAGCGGGACTCTCCTTGTTGTGACTGGGCGTCATATGACGTCCTGTCAAAACGAGCCACTCACTCAGCCGCGGGGCCACGTATTGGCGCGATCTGTCACCAGCTGTGTCCATGTATCGTGACCTCTGTGACCAATCACAGCAGATCACATGTCAATTGTATACAACGGATGTCTGCTTGTCATGCCACCCATTGCATACAATTGTGTTGTTAGCTGTGACTGGTCAAAACAGTCACATGATACAGACAGGGCCATTCACAGCCCATTTGTATCATGCGATCAGCTTTGCCTAAATCACAACAAAAGACTGAATGAATCAGTTTCATTCAGTAAAAATGATTGCAGATATCAATGAAATACATTGGTTTTAGCAATCCTAATGTTTTAAAAAAAAGAAAAAATCCTGATCACTTGTCCGGAGTAGTTCAATGTTACTATGGTAACACTGTAATGCTTTGGTCACAGTGTGCTGAAAAAAAAATAGTAAAAAAAATAATAGAAATATTTGGAAAAAAAAAATACAAATTAAATTATTTTATTTTCACCAAAGAAATGTAGCAGAATACATTTTGAACTAAATTTATGAAGAAATGTTATTTATTTGCAAAACTTTATAACAGAAACGAAGAAAAGTGCTTTTTTCAAAAGTTTCAGGGGTTTTTTTTTTTTTTTTGTTTATTTAGTAAAAAATAAAAAACTCAGTGGTGATTAAATACCACCAAAAAAAAAGCTCTATTTGTATGAAAAAAATGATAAAAATTTCATATGGGTACAGTGTTGCATGAGCACGGAATGATTCAAAGTGCGACAGCGCTGAAAGCTGAAAATTGGCCTGGACAGGAAGGGGTAAAAGTGTCCTGTATTGATGTGGTTAAAGAGCCCTGCATGCTGCATTTTTGGTGCATGTTAGGTATGCTAGAAAAAACTTCACCGAAAATGCATCAAAAACGCCTACAAAAGGCACCCGCAGTGGCGGTTTTGGTGCACTTTTTTGGATTCACATGTTCATTTTTTGCCAAGCATGGCAAAAACGCTGCTCAGATGCAGTGTAGTTCTGCTTTAAAGAAATAATACATTCAAATTGTTTGTTTTTAATCCTTTTGCTGTGGGTTCCAAAAAGTATCTTTCATCCTTTTTCTTTCTGATGAATTTTTATAGGTATTTAAAGAAGACTTGAAAGAGTTAAGGTAAAGTCAGAAAACAGTGTTTGTTCCTTTCCGAAGCATATATGGTATTTCTTCTTTCTATTTACATCACATTCTGCAGCTCGGCATACCAAACAGCAGTTTTCAATAACAAAATAAACTAATAGGTACAACACTATTATATCACATAAATAGGATAAATCTATAGTGAACTAATCTTGGTGCATACAATTCATAAATCGTTAAAAGTGCTAAAGCGGTTTTTAAAGGTTAATTTTTTTTGTTATATTTACCTTCTCTGTGTAATGGTTTTGCAGAGAGCAGCTCTGATCCTCCTCCTTTGGCTCGCTTCTGAGCCAGCTCTGTGTGTCTATGGGACACCCAGTGCGTGGCTCAGTCCTGTCCCCGCACCTTCCTTACTGACTGTGATTGACAGCCATTGGCCTTTGGCTCCCACGGCTTTGTCTCAGCCAATGAGGAGAGAGAGGCCCAGGAGAGTCAAGGTTCCAGTGCACAACACTGGATGAAGATCTAGCTCAGGTAAGGATTCGGCGGGTGCTAAGGGGGGGAGCTGCACACTAAAGGTTTTTTCTTACCTTCGTGCATTGAATACATGTGAGTAATAAACCTTCACCCTTTGCAGCCACTTATTGTTTATGTCCAATGATCATAAAAAAATTGATCAGCTAAGTATAAAGTGCTCCAGAACACTCCAATCCGTATTCCTCTGATGCTCCACTCCCAGTGTTTTGCATGCAGCCCATGTCCGCGAATAAACTTTCAAACCAACAAGAACTCACCCAAAGCTGTTATGCCTTCACACAAAATGGATTAAAATATGCTTTATAATCTCCCAGGAACAGCTTTCCTCTGTGCACTGGTCTCTGCGCCTGCTTTACAATGTGTCCAGTCTCATAGCCCTTTGATTTCCATTCTCCCCTTTTTCCTCATCAAAACATGTCATATAGATAACACAAGGGTGCCATAGCTTCAAATTCTTTTTATTTAAAAACCAGCAAAAAACATATAAAAAAAAGTTACACTCACATATGTTTTGTGCCTCATCCCAGAACTCTGTTACAGCAGCTATGTTTTTGGTGGAGTGATCCTTTTATGATTAATCAGATCTCTTAATAGAAACTATTGACAGATTTGCCTCTTGCTGCTGGGAGAACCAATAATATGTAGATTACCGGAATAATGCACAAAGAATAACATGCTTTGGGGTCATTGGGATTTAGGAGATGTGTTGTGTCTCTCTGAAAAGAAGACGTTCGAGCCACACTAGTTCTCTGGTACATCAGCTGCTAATTGTTCTGTGCTTTCATTGTGTTTTAAAGTGGTTGTAAACCTCAGACATGAAATATTACTTTTTAGTGTGTACTCAATTCTGTCTGCTTCCTTCCTCTGCTATCAGCATGAATTACGTCTGACAGATTTCCCTGACACCAAGAGAAAAATGGTGACAGGGAGGGGACCTCCAGCAGATTGACAGCCTCAGATCTTTTCCAGTGAGCTGTGTGAAGGGGTTGTGTCCCTCACATCAGCTCTCAGAATTCTCACTGAGCTCTGCTGTGTGTAAATTACAGCCTTCTGCCCCCTTTTCTTCAGAACTCTCACACAAGTTTTAAAAAATGGACTTTAAACAGATGTAAAGAAGAGAAGACTGCAGATATATAGGTACAACTTATTTAGGAGGGCTTGTTGCATCTCTGTGTATCACCCAATCAGGCCAGTTATTGGGTATATGTAAGCGTTTACAACCCCTTTAAAGAGATAAAACATGGAGAAATGTAAATGTATTTTTTTTATCTTGCTATATGCTCTTAGATTGCTGTTCTTATCATGTTCTCATCGTCTGTGTTTTTAACTTTTTTTTTAGAATTCCTGATGATTTTATCGGTGACTTTTCTAATATTGTCTATGGAAACAGGTATAAAACTAAATTAAACATGCTAAATGTTTTATGTACACATTACAAACAGTAAATGTCGATTCTTGACAAATCTGGTTGCCAGGCAAATTTGATTGCCAAGCAAGACAATAATTGGACTGTCTACTTTTTGGAGAGGTCTTCTTTAACTTCCTGTTTATGTAGATATAACAGGAAGTGAAGTGAAATAAAATATTAGATAGTTGTCACTAGAGTAAGTGTCCCCCCTTTTGTTACAACACACATATGTAGATTTTCCTCTCACTTTCATTCCTGGTAACCAAAACTGAAGAGTGCAAAATCTGGTGGAACTCTGCATAGAAACCACTCAGCTTCCAAGTTGTATTGCCAATGCTTCATTGAGCAAGCTGAAGTTAGAAGCTAATTGGCTACCATGCACACCAGATTCTTTGTGCTCCAGTTTTAGTAAATCTCCTGTGTTCACCTTCGCAAATAGAGTAAATCTCCTTAGCCGAGGACATGGACAGTAGGGTTCCAACCCTTAACCACTCTATCCAAAACTAGAAAAAAATGGCTTTATATACTTAGTGTTTGTGTATATATTTTATAAAACCTTTCCTGATTACCTCTCAGAGCAGCTCAGTGATATAGTTGTCATTATGTAGCCTGCAGATACACTAGGGTTAATTTATTAACCACTTGCCCTCTGGAAGATTTAACCCCCCTTCTTGACCAGACCATTTTTTACTGTTCAGCACTGCGCTATTTCAACTGGTAATGTTGCGGTCATGCACCACTGTACTCAAACAAAATTGATGCCCTTTTTTTTTTTTACACAAATAGAGCTTTCTTTGATCACCACTGGGTTTTTTATTTTTTGTGATATGAATGAAAAAAGACAGAAAATTGTGAAAAGAAAAAAAAAATTTTTTGCTTATGTTTACAAAAAATATCCAATAAACTTAAAGTTAGCCATACATTTAGGCCAAATGTATTCTGCTGCATGTCTTTGGTAAAAAATAATCCCAATACATGTATATTAATTGGTTTGTGTGAAAGTTATAACATCTGCAAACTATGGTATAAATACTGGAATTTACACAGCTTTTACTTTCTAACTGCCTATCACATTTCTTGAGGTGCTAAAATGTCAGAGCAGTACAAAGACCCCTCCTTAAATGACCCCTTTTTGGAGAGTAGACACCCAAAGGAATTTGCTGAGAGGTATGTTGAGTCCATGGAAGATTTTTATTTTTTTTTTTATTTATTTTTTTTTTTTTTTGCTACAAAATTTTTTATTTTTTTTTACACCATGTTATTTTGGGTATATGTGGAATAACACCCCAAAACATATTCTGCTACTTCTCCCAAGTATGGGAATACCACATGTGAGAGGTTTTTGGCAGCATATCCACATACAGGCCCCCAAAATCCAATGACTGCTCTCAGGCTTTCAAAGAGCATATTTCCTCATATCACTTCCTCACTACCTATCACAGTTTCAGAAGCCCTGAAACACCAGGATAGTACAAACAGCCCTACAAAAGACATTGCATAGCATACGCTTCTAATGTTGGCCCTGAAATGCCAGAATGGCAGAAGCACCCCCCACCCCCATCCCCAAATGATCCCTTTTTGGAAAGTAGACACTCCAAGGTATTTGCTAAGGGGCATGATGAGTATTTTGTTTGTTGCCACAAGTTTTTGGAAAATGAAGAAAGAAAACAAAAATGTATTTTTTCTTTTCTTTTTTTTTTCAAAACCCTGTGACAAACTGATATCTGCAAAATACTCACCATGCCTCTTATTAAATTCCTAGGGTTGTCTGCTTTCCAAAAAAGGATCATTTGGGGAGGGGGGTGGGGGGTGCTTCTGCTATCCTGGCATTTCACGGCCAACATTAGAAGCGTATGCCACACATCACCCACTCTTTAAAATGGTGGGTGTTGCAAGTTTTTATGTCATACAGTATTTGCAAGGCGCTTTTTCAAATGCAGATTTTTGTTTTAAAAATACACTTTTTTGAATCTCAATGCACAAAAACACAATCTATTGCCCAATTGTTTGATATAATATAAAAGATGATGTTATGCTGGATAATTAGATGCCAAACATGACATGCTTAAAAATAGCACATGCCTTGCAATGGCAACAAACTACATACATTTTTAATATCAATAGGCGACGCTTTAAAATCCTTTACAGGTTTACATACTGAGACGGGCCTGTCGTTTGCGATCACCTTTGCGCAGGAGCATGGGAAGGGGGGTGGGGCGGGGGGTTTTTTGTATCACTTTTATTGTTATCACAGGGGATATAAATATCTACTCTAGATCTCTTCTCTGCCCTTAAAGCATCTGATCACACCAAAATCGGTGTGATTAGATACTTTCCTAATTTAAAAATGGCACTGTTAATATCCGATGAAACAGAAATTATGAAATGCTCATAGTGTCCAGTTTTTTAGACCATAGAGATAATTGGAGCCAATCAACTGCTGGCTGCATTCTCAGATTTCCCTGTGAGATGGGACAACCACTCAAAGTCCAGTGATAAGCCAGTATGTTTCTGGTCCTTTTTGGGCATATATGTAACAGCAGAGAACATGGGCATATGATGAATCCGGTCTATGGACCTATATGACCTCAATTCTTTATTTTTTGTAATGCCCATGTTGAGGGTTAGGCCCAAAAAAGTTTTAAATTCAGAAACCGTGAGAGACTTCTTTGTGCATTGTATGCGCATTGTTTGGCAAGAGCTGAATTTTGGACGGCGATGTATTGTTCTGCGTATAAATTGCTTTGGCCCACAATCAATTGATACAAATCTTCCGTAAAAAACAGTGAAGGGGCTAAATGCTAGTGCTGACAGCGAATGGGGCCGATCCTGCTTAGCACTGTGTTTTTGGGGACACTATACTAGGGAGGCATTAGTATAGTTCTGTTCGTGATCAATATATTGATCTGTACAAACACTATACTAGTAATGGCGGTGATCAATGACCTATAGCGTGAGTGCGATAGTGTGCGGGCAATTTAACGCTAACTGACCCTGGCTGGGAGGGGCATTAACTGACCCTGACACTATCTGATGTTGCTAGTGGCAGTAATACAGTGATCAGTGAAAAATTCTATATACTGGCACTGGCTGGGTAATGGGGTGGTCAAAGGGTTGATAGGGGTGATCAGAGGGTTAAATGTGCTAATCTAACGTGTAAAATGTAGTGCTTTCACTCAGTGCGGTGTTCTCTCTTCTCTCCCTGGACCCACAGCAGGCACAGGTGTGTTCACAATCCAAAATAGAAAGCGACGTAAGGTTACATTCCTTTGCCCAGAGCTGCTGCTTGCCCGCACAATGCGGGCAGGCGGTCGGCAAGTAGTTTGAAAAGAAAAAAAAAAAACCCTAAAAAAAATTGTATATATATATTTTTTATTCTCAATACAGTAGTTTTATTTATTTTACTTTTTTTATTTTTTTAAATACTTTTATCAGAGTAGTACAATGTTACCTTAGTAACATTGTACTACTCTGGGGGATGATCAGGAATTTTTTTTTTTTTTTTAACACTTTGCTTTGCAGGAGCAAATAGAGATTTGCTCTGCAATGCAAAGCTTGCTTTAAACTGTCATGGATGAGTTACGTTCATGACAGTGCAAAATAATAGTGATCTATGATTGGCTAGAGGTGGTCACATGGTACAGGGTGCTGTGATTGGGGCCCCATGTATCATGTGAGAGCTGTGGGACAATCACAGCTCACCAGGAAAAGAAGCATTGATTAATAACAGCTTTGCTAACAATGTGATTGCATAGAGACCACATGATCACCAGTTCCCATTCACCGGGTTCTTCATTTCGCTGTGTCCAGCGGACACAGCAGTCAAGGGTGGAGAGTGGTGTGCGCCCGCTTGGGCGTGCAACACTCCCCTGTGTCAGTACAGCCAGAGCACCATACCCGTATGTCGCTTTGCCTTTAGCTGCCGCCCATGCGCAGTACATTGCAGGTGAGTGATCGGCAAGCGGTTTAGGTACATTTTTTACTTAGGTGAACACGTGATCACTTTAACATCCAATCATTTGAAGACAGATTTTAAAAATAGTATTTTTGTGTTTGTATTGGATGGTTGAAGTTAAGACCATTCTACAGAGCTAAGTGAAAAATTTCCTACTAGTAAATAGGTCTTTTTTTAAACAGCAGTGTTCTATATTAAAAACTGTGATAATTGTACACATTGACTAAAGCTTATGTTTTTAGAAAGTATAAACCCAGCTAATATGAAAAGTCTGCCTTTTACAGAAAGATATCTTCTGTGTATCTATAATATTCACAGTTTTGTTTTAGATTTACCTTAGTGATATGCTTACTGTTCAACAAGTATGCCTTGCAGCACTGGGGTCCTTGGTTCAAATATAATTTTTTGAAAGCGTGTAAAGATGCAGCACTTTGATGCTCTTTCATGAACACTCACGGTCTAATAGAAGTCAGTGGGAACACACCAAAAGCTTATGTAGAACGCAGATAAATCATGCTGTTCCAAACTGCAGTGCACCAGTGTGAACCTGCTCTTGGCTAAGTTTTTACTTTTTTTTTTTTTTTTTTTCCATTTAGGCGTCCAATTCTCGAGGATGCAGCTTTAAAACAAGGGATTAGGTTACCAACTGTAGAAGATTTAAGGTGGAGAGTTGATGTTGCAATTTCAACCAGGTAATTCTGTGTGTATAATAACTTTTTAGTTTAGTACATAGCCATATCAGTTAAAACAATGCCCTGAAAAGTATTACCATTGCTACTCGAATCTTATTTACAGAGCAGTTCTAGATATTTAAAATGCAAAGTCTGGCTGATCAGCACATTACATTTTAATGTCACAAAGCAAATGCGCATACATTTATATTTATTTATTTCAGGTACTTATATAGCGCCGTCAATTTACGCAGAGCTTTACATATATATTATACATTCACATCAGTCCCTAACCCTCAAGGGGTGTACAATCTAAGGTCCCTAACTCACATTCATACATACACATACTATGGACACTTTAGACAGGATCCAATGAACCTACCAGCATGTCTTTGGTGTGTGGGAGGAAACCGGAGTATCCGGAGGAAACCCACGCAGGCACAGGGAGAACATATTATACACACACCTTTAGCATATTGTCTCTGATTAGAAGCAGTAGAGCTCTTTACATGTGACTGTGCCTATACACCATCCATTCTTTTCAGGAGCCTATCAGGAGTTTGATATGTATATCCCACCCACTCCTGCTTTTAATTACCGGATTACGTTGATGGTGTCATCAAGAGTCGGGTTCTAGGAACAGTAAAGGCTCATTCACACCAGTAGATGTGCATTATGTGTAATGTGTGCCTGCTGGTATGCGTAGTGTAGGGAACAAAGTGGTGTGATGCATTGAAACAAGACATTGCACTGATTACCATTTTTCTCCTTTACTGAAACATCACAATATGGAATTTCTTTCAGTTTTATGCAGTGCAGCATGTTGACGTGAACTGAAACAATAGGACATGTCTGTGCTGGGGCTGTGTTGTGAAAGGGTGCCAAGAGTTTTTCCACAAAAACGCCATTGAGTGGATGACACCACATTCTGTCTGCCTTGGCAAAAGAGTTGTGGCTGAATGAACAAAACAGTGTTTCTGGGGTTCCTGGGCACTCTCTGGGCAACAAAGTTGGCATGCTGGCACCTAGAAGTGCCTACTGTGATGAAATGACATTGGATTTTTTGTTTGGTGGCTGCCGGTGTGCTGTAGAATAATTTTGTATTTACAGTAGAAGCTATAGTGCAATTTATATACCTATTAATACAGTAATGTTTATTTAAAGAACTCGGGTCTGTACCTCAATGCAAAATTAGCATTACTCTAAAGATATCTAGAGGTAGCTGTAAATATAATAACTGCACCAGAAGCTTTGAAAGACAGTATTCCAGGTTATACAAATCTCACACTTTGTTCCTGATGGGAAAGGTATACTCAGAGAACTATGAATTGCTAACCCCCTCCTTCTGAAAAAAAACATTTTTGAATGATTGACAGAACATTTATGCAGATCAAGAATTATAGTTTCTCTCTGACGACAGATTCTGTATGCAATACTCAAAGTATTGAAGCCAGAGACTGATAGGCACATTTCAGGAGAACAGCAATGGAAGTTCACATATTTCATATCAGATTTCCTTGAAGTCTATCCCCTAATTATGTATCCCATACTCTTGTCCCTTGCTATTGGTTACTGAGGCAGTTCATCACATTTAGGATACAATAGCAAGGTGTAAGAGTCTGGAAGGTATGTCATTCTTTCCAAATATTAGGTTTAATAAAAGATAATTTAGGAAACCTGTGGTCTTATGGAAATGTAATATACTGTGTAAAACGGAGTTGCTGAAATCACTAAATATACCAATTAAAAAAATTACCTCCTTTCTTTGGAAGGCATCTAAATAAGACGTACAAGACTTAAGCTGGCCTTACATTATACAATTTTCTTACTCAATTTCCTTTACATTTACCCTCAACTATGTAGTGCAAGGGCCTGCCTGATTCAGGCTAGGTTCACATATGTGCGGGTGGTGCGACTGCAGATCGCACGAAAATCCGTGCAGCCGCACCACCCACACAGGAATGCAGACCTGCGGGCGGGTGCCATTAGTTCTAATGGCATGCAACCTGCACTGGAAAACGCAACCGTACTGGGAATTGAGGTTCCCATGCGGGCTGCTTTTTCAGAAGAAGTGCAGGGACTTCTTCCCTGCATGTCACGGGGCACGGGAGTCCATTCAAATGAATGGGCTCTTGTGTCCGCGCAAAACGCGGTCCACACAGCCACATATATGTGAAGCAGGGGTAAAAAATACAAATTGAAAGTGTTTTAGGTGTGACCGCATATTATATGGTTTTGGTACAACTAAAAGAAAATTGTACAAGAAAATTGTTTAATGTATGGCCAGCCCAAGACAATGGAAAATATGGTCCCCACTCTCTTTTCTGTCATGCTGATTGCTAATTATACATTAAAAGGGCAAAGAGTGGAATATTATTGCATGGGTGGAAACAGTATTTTTACATTTGTTCAGAACTGCTCAACTATAACATACACAGCTGCAGGGAGCATATAGAGATCCTAATTTTTTTCATTTCTCGCATTATATCTAAAAATAGAATTGTTGTCAGAAATTATTTTGGGAGTTCTGTGACCAATTTAGGTGCAAACCGTGTTGAATGGAGTTATGTTCTGTCAAGAATAATTTCTCTCTTGGGTTTATAAATGAATTTTGCTTCAGGCAGTACCTTGTTCACAATGCACATTTGTATCTATTTTTATTTTCAATCTGCGTAGTTCTCTTTCACGAGCCCTGCAGCCTTCCATCTTAATGCAGATGAAGTTGTCGAATGGAGAGTCCCATCGATTTGAAGTAAGTATGCTATGTATTAGAAGCTGTTCTTTGCAGTTACATTTTCCATAAAGTAACACATGCTAGGTTTGTGGATTTTTTTTCATTTGTTGAAACTCATTGTTTAAATGTACCAACCATCTGAAAAAAGAGTTCTCTCCGTTTCTGTGAAATCAATCCCCGAAGTCTGCTGGTAGACCAATACCTTACAGAGTGTTCATCTCTTGGGTCATTTACATTTCTCACTGGTTCCACCTGCTGACCTCTAGGTCAGCACACAATGGTATGGAGAGCAGCAGGAGAAAACAGTGCAAGCTAAGGGGGACCCAGGAGATGCATTATTATATTTCTTTAGGAAAACTTCTTCCAGGGTTGCTGCAGTGAATACTAGCTGTGCACGATAGCTGCATTTGTGCAGGCCAACTTCGTAAAGAAAGCATTACCAAGCACAGTCTTGGCAACCAGTAGTTGATAAAATCAACAGCGTTTTATTGAGAGAATTAGTTGGCACATGACAGGTACCCAGGGTGTTTTCTTAATTTTGAATTTAAGTGAAAGACTGGGTTGTTTTATCCAAAATAGCTGCCATCAGGATTACCGTGTGCGTGTGTGTGTTTGAGAAATAGGGTTGAATTGCTAAAAGTGTAGAAACTGTTCACATGACAGTGATTGTTCACTGAGCTTACTAAATCAGCCATATGCCAGCAAAAACTTTTTCTTTTACATTTCCATTGTGCATGTTTGGGTGTTAAGTGTACACAGGCTCCCCTTATATATGAACATCAACTTTGTAGAACATGTACTTTTCAAAGTGAACTGCCTCTATGCCTTTAGCAACACAGCCCTATTGGTGTTGGGGCCTCACTGATGTTTGGAGACCTGTCCTAAAACAGATCATTTTTTCAAACAATGGTGCACTATTCTTTCTCAGTAGTAGTAGATAGAAACAGAAATGCAATAGACCAAGGGGAGCAGGGTATGGCCTGACATTGGGTCATAGATTCATCATCTTTCTGTATCTTGGCAATAGTTTGGCAGCCATTACCAGGCCCAAGTAAAGTGGCACTCTTAAAAATAAATAAAAAAAAAATTAGAAGTTGAAGGAAGATCAACTTTTATCTCTACACCAGAGATGTAACAGTCAATCCATTGCCTACATAGCACTTGCAAAGTCTCATGTTTACCCTTTCGCACTATTAAGGGAGCTCTAAGACACGCTTTATAATTCTGACATGCCTCCATGTGACAAATATCGGTGCGGGTGACAGATTCATGCGTCTATTGTGAACAGGTACAAGCTGGGGCAGCACCTCGTGTGGAGGCGTACTGTCACTCTGCATTCTGCCTGTCTGTTTGCAAACTTAGAGTTGGTCCTAATTAACTTCAGTTTTGTTATCTATGAACTGGAAGTAATTCTATTTTTAATTCAGTGTATTAATAGCATAACTTTGTAAAGTGCATGATTCTGCCGCATGTGTCAGTAAAACCTTCAAAACAGGCGACACGGATTTTGAATCTGGCACATGGTATTTTAAAGGGCCATTGAGCCCGAAAAGTGTTGTTAGGGATTTTTTTTAATTCCTTCAAATGAGTTCTGATAAGGTTTGTGAGGGTTGATTTTAAATCTGTGCCAGTTATTTGCCCAGTAAAATGTAATTTTGCTTGCTCTTTCAGGTTTCAGTTGGCAAGTTCCAAGAACTGAGATATAATGTCGCTCTGATTCTAAAGGAAATGAATGACCTGGAGAAAAAAAACATTTTAAAAATCCAGGACTGATTTTTATTGTGCACTTTACACCGGATCCTGCCTTGTTAGTACCAATCTGAATGTCTTGATATGTCAACCCACTTTTTGAAGATAGTACACGAATACAAAACAGAAGCAGTGAAAGTAACAGTGTTTACCATACTTATTGCAGTGCTGAATTAACCGTACGTAGAGCCCCAGGCCAAACAGTTATCAGTCTGACTGGTTAGATCAATGGTGATCAGTTGGCTAGACATGTTGTTCACAAGTGTCATCTGTGACATCACCAAAGGGTCAAAATGTTATATTCAGCATTTTTTTTTGTAAAATCGCCTTTAAATGAAAAGATATCAACATAGTGTTGTAGTAACATCACAGTACACACGTCTGCACTGAAGCATTATTAAACTGCTTACCCTAACATATAATGGGCACCAAGGTCCCTGTGCAATGCTTAGTGTAAAATGGCCCAAAACCTGCCTGTCACATAAACATGCTTTCTGCATATGTATGCTAACAGTTTGGATCATCATGATAGCTTTCAGAAGTCAGAAGCCCTGGTTACAAAATTCCAGATTACAGAGAGAATTCTGTGAAGTGAAAAAAGAAAAATCTAAGATGAAGACCATTCAAGCCAGCATTGACCGTCCTATAGTAGGAGGACTGATGATGGGTTCCAGTTGTTTGCAGGTGCTAGGGATGTTTCTGGAAAATTTGGTGAAGGAGGGAGTATTGCAATCACTGTGTCAGCAGTTTACCACTTTTCTGGCAGGTTATCTTATCCTCCATCCAAATTCTCTAACAAATTTGAAACTCTTATCCATAATTTGCTTCTCATGCACACAAATAGGATAAACAAGAACAATCCTAGTTCTTGAGGCTGCATTGCCCAGTGTACAGCTGAAAGGAGACGCACACAGTGGGCTGCTCTTAAAGGTAGAAAGTTGCATCACTACCTGCTCCACCTGACTGTTTCTTCTACTAAGTCTTGACAAGTCTCACAAAATCTGCGGTCTGAGGAGGGATCATGAACTCAGTTTTTGTAGCCAGTGATAAAAATACATTGATGGATTTCTCTTAATCACCTGGCTGGTGCCTGAGGGCCGCAAGATAAGAGGTCTGGTACTGTTTATAAGCTGTAGGTTGGGTACCATTGCATTAGACCAGGGGTCTCCAAACTTTCAAACAAAGGGCCAGTTTGCTGCCCTTCAAACTTTAAGGGGGCCAGACTGTGACCAGTAGGAGTAAAAAATGCCTAGGCATCTATGGGAGTAAACAATGCCATAGGCTTGGTGGTCCGTGGGAGCAATAAAAAATTACATCATTGGTGTTATTGGGAAGAATAGTGCCCCAACATTGGTGTCCGTGTGAGAATTAGTTCCCCCATGTCTGGTGTCAGTGGGAGGGATAGAAAGGAAGAATGTCACAAGCACACCGAGGATCCACCAATATGGGTCCAAAGGTTTTAATGAACGATCACATAGGTACAGCAAGGCAACGTTTCAGAGTCTCACAGGAACCTTTCATCAGCCATGTGTCACATGCCTTGCTGTAACTATGTGATCGTTCACTAAAACTTTTGGATCCATATTGGTGATCCTCAGTGTTCTGATGACATTCTCCCTTGCTGATTCTGTTCGGTTCCAGACAATGGTTGCTGCAGCACCCACTTATACACAGAGCCATTTTTAACACCCGAACGTGTGCGTTTGGATTGTACACTTGCAGTGGGAGGAATAGTACCCCAATGTTCGTGTCAGTGGAAGGAATAGTGTCTCTCATCAGTGGAAGGAATAGTGCCACAAAGGGCCAGATAAAAGCAGGAACTGTAATGGGCCAAAACTGGCCCACGAGCCTTGGTCTGGTGACCCCTGCATTAGGCATTGTCATCTTTGTTAAACTCCAAATTTTCCCAGGCAGTCAGCAAATATAGGTAAAACTGCCACATGCCTGTGTTGTATTTTAGTATGAATAGGCTGTCTGTGTCCATACTATGAATTTCTGTTTTCAGTTACAAATCGGTGCAGGTTACCTAACAAAAGTCAATTCGGCCTTCTAGATCACCTTTCTGGGTTCCTGTGGCAATGATGCTTAAAGTTAATATACAAGTATTTGTAGTGCTGAATGGGTATGCTTGTGCAAGTACATATATCTGCTTTAGATAGCTAGATGTGCGCCATCCATTTTTATAAGACCAAAGTTTCTCTAAGTGTGTGATATTTTTCAGCGCAAAGATCATTATCCGTGTGTATGCACTGCCCATCATATTTAAAGTGGTTGTAAACCCTTACATATATCCAGTGAAGTGACTAGCCTCAGGCGATGCACAGAGATTATACAAATCCTCCTATATAGGTTGTACCCATTTATCTGCAGAATTCTCTCATCTACATCCATTCAAAGTACAGAATTTACACACGATATCTCAGCTCTGAAAAACGGGGTGGAGGGCTGAAGTTAGATTGGTGAGGAGAGCTTCAAGGACTAATTAGAGGGAAGGAAGGCATCCCCCTTCACACAGCACATCGGAACGGAGTTGAGGCTGTCAATCACAGGCTCTGCCCTCCCTGTCACCAGTTTTCTCTTGGTGTCAGGTAAACCTGTCAGAAGTGACTCATGCTGATAACAGAAGGATGAGGAAGCTGGAAAGAACTGCCACTTAGTGCTCTGGATTAAGACGAATACACACTACAGAGGGATATGCTTTGTTCATGTCTGACGTTTACAACCACTTTAAATCTGACTTCAGTGATAAGCTGTACAAACACAACCCCTTTGTTATTTGAAGACTATGTCTTTCATACCACTTTATTACACATAAGTATATTGGACTGCTGTGACTCACACAAGAGGATGGTGAAACAAGGCAGAAAGATTTGCCATAAGCCGATCTGCAGAAATAATTTCTTAAAACATGTAAAGATTTGATTAATATATAGAATACAGTTATCCTGCATTTAAAGGGTCTCTGCCACAAAGCAAAACATTCAGATCATGAGACTCCTTCCATGATTGAAGTGCAGTATACTAGTTGTACACTGACTGAGTGATTGTTTACCTTTACTACTTCAGAGCTAGTATGGACAACATATGCAAGTAGTGACCACTTTCAGAGTCTAATCACACAGATGTTTTTCATCATATGCCTGAAAAAGCAACTTTTTGGTACAGAATGGGACCAAATTTTCAAATTCAGTTTTATCATTCTCTGGTAAATGTTTAACAGATTTCATCAACTACTTGGAATATACCCATGTCTATTGTACATATATTCTTGAAATAAAAAAAACCTTTGTATTAAATGTAGGTTTATGTGTTGAACCTTTTCTTCTGAGCTTCTGATTGGCTGAAGCAGATCGATAACATCACAATTTCTGCCTCAGCCAGAAGAAGCTTAGTATTAATTCCTAGAACACAGGCTGAGCAATGTTCAGCTCGACTCACCTTTGTGGCGGGAGCAGGATGAGAAGGAAACAACTGTTGGAGCTATTATTCACAAATGGAAGAAATACAAAATAACCATCAATTGCCCTCTGTCTGGAGCTCCATGCAAGATTTCACCTCATGGGGTAAGGGTGATCATAAGAAAAGGGAGGGATCGGCCCAGAACTACACGGAAGGAGCTTGCAAATGATCTCAAGGCAATTGGGACCAAACAAACCATTGGTAACACAACACACTGCCATGAATTGATATCCTGCAGCGCCCACAAGGTCCTCCTCCTCAAGAAGGCACATGTACAGGCCTGTCTGAAGTTTGCCAGCAAACATCTAAATGATTTAGAGAAGGATTGGGAGATAGTGCTGTGGGCATATGAGACCAAAATTGAGCTCTTTGGCATTAAATTGACTCGCTGTGTTTGGAGGAAGAAAAATGCTAACTATAACCCTAAGAACAGCTTTGGGGTTGTTTCTCTGCTAAAGGTACAGGTCGACTTTGCCGCATTTATGGGCCAATGGATGAGGCCATGTATTGTGAAATCTTGGAAGAGAACCTTCTTCCCTCAGCCAGAACACTGAAGATGGGTCTTCCAGCATGATAATGATCCTAAACCACCAAGGAAACAAAGGCTGAAGAAGAAGCGCATTAAGGTCATGGAGTGGCCTAGCCAGTCTCCAGACCTTAATCCTATAGAAAATTTATGGAGGGAGCTGAAACTTTGAGTTGCCAAGTGAAACCCAAGAAACCTTAAGGATTTAGAAAAGATCTGTAAAGAAGAGTGGACCAAAATTCCTCCTGAGATATGTCCAAACTATGATAAAAATTATAGACCCTTCATTTCTTTGTAAGTGGGTACATTTTCAAAATCTGCAGGGGACCAAATAATTTTCTCCACTATACAGTTAATACAGCACACACTGTTGCTGCTTCTGTTCATGAAGTAAATTGGACCAACTATTTCAACTTCACAAAAACATAGATGTGAGCAGTTATTGAACATGACACTTCTTCTGCGCAGGAGCTTCCTGTAATAAATACCAGTCACTGCTGTTCTCTGTCCTTGTGCAGGGTTGACTGGTCTTGTGTCCAGTACCCAGCTCTAGTAGCACAGAGATGATGTTGTCTTTTTCCAGAGCAGCCTGTATTTGTCTTGAGGTTACCTGTGGGTTTCCCTTTGTACCCCAAACAATTCTTCTGTCAGTTATGGCTGCAATCTTTCTTGGTCTACCTGACCTTGGCTCGGTATCAAGAGATCCCTGAACTTTCCACTTCTTAGTAGGTGATTTAACAGTACTGATTGGCATATTCAAGGCTTTGGACATCTTTATATGTCCTTTTTCCATCTGTATAAAGTTCTATTACCTTGTTACGCAGGACTTTTCTGATCCCCATGGCTCAGTATCTAGCCTAGTCAGTGCTTCCACGTAAGAGCTAACAAACTCATTGACTATTTATACACTGACACTAATTGCAATTTAAAAAGCCACAGATGTGGAACATTAACCTCTAATTGGCATTTTAAACCGCGTGTGTCACCTTGTGTGTCCGTACCAAGGCCAAACATTCCAGGGTATGTAAACTTTTGATCA